AGTGATATTATCAACGTTCTCCGAAGAGAAAAGTATGTCTGAGTTTATCCCGTTAATACCTTCATTCATACCATTAACATCTGCGGAAGAATAAGCATAGATTTTCCTTTCGAAAGAATTATTGTTCTGTACAGTTTCTGTTATATTAAGGAACACAGGGCAGCGATATAGGACCTAATACACCAGAATCTCTAACACCGTCGACGCAACATACAAATATATAATCGATCAAAGTTTTACTACTTGGGGTTATTCTAGTAGCATGCGTAATTATCCGTCTTTTGATTACGTCCATGAAGAATATCAATATTGAAATCACCACTTATAATCGTCGACATAGTAAGATCGACTGCCTTGTGTATTGATTCATCGAACAAATGCCAATATTCGGAGCTCTTGTCGGCACGATAAAAAGTTCAAATCAAGTAGTTTCTTGTTTTACATTTAATTTGTATCCATATCGCCTCAAGCCCGACTATATCCAAATCATTCATTAAGGACGCACAAAACGTATCTTCCACATAGGCTGCTACAACGCCGCCACGAGTTTGTCTGTCTTTACGAAATGGTAGATGGAAGCCAGGGATTCTTACATCGATGTTGCTAGAAACGGACGTTAGCCAAATTTCTGTTAGACATATTACATCATAGAATCCGAGTTCAATTTTTGAATACCTAATTTCCCTTTAAGTCTACTGACATTTAAATGGACAGTCTTCAAATCTTTTGGACATTTAGGTCCTGGATTGGGGTGAATATCTCCACAACACAAAATCAATAACAAAACCATTAATGAAACGCAAAATTACTATAATCATCGAAATTTGAATATATGTAGATAAAGTGCAAATTACCTAATTGTTTGGAATGAAGAGCTGTAGCAAAATTACCCACTGCCTGTCTGTATTGTGATATGTCAGAAGCAGTAAAATGCATCTTAAAGCTGAATCTGAATTTCAACTTAAGTATGCAACATTCTGTTTGATGATAAGTTACACACATACAAAAGAACTAAAGCATAAAGAAGTTCAGTTTTACAGATAACAACTTTTGGTTTTTCACAAATATAGCAAGGTGTCGAACAAGACTGTCAGGCTGACTTGACTGCATCTACCCTAAGGCAGAATCCAGAACGTATGTGGCAAAACATGCTCGCAAAACAATGTTTGATAGTAATTGTAGATTTGGGGGAATATACATGTATTATTTCTACTTTTTCCTGAAAATCCTGGTATGTAACATTTTGATGTGAGTGGTGCCATGCGTCACGGCACCGATGTTTGGTTATTGATTATTTGATTTGAATCAGATATATGCGTACTTATTTCATGTGTGAATATTTCAAATGTAACCTACCTCTACATATTAGTTTTTCTCAGTAATAATCTCGTTACCTGTATATGCAGGTTTTCAAGAACGCAATAAGTATTTCAATGATCCTGTCCATGCTAAAAGTTAATGAACCAAAAAATGCCAGGATGAAAATTACCTATGCATTCATAAGACTGTATAATTTAAAATCGGTGTGTTTCAGTATTCGGAATTTGAAAGGCATTAGTTCATTGAGAACAATCTGCTCCAATGTTTAGTTGTTCTTACCCGTTGGCAAACCCTACTAATATCAACAATATTGTTCCTGTGTACCCTTCCCATGTATTGGCTATCTCAGGTGAAATGCGCTTGATACAGCACTATGAGTTGGCTTACAATGTCGGATGTATGGCAGTTTATGATATAATTAAAGTTGGCTTCCTTTACCTGGTGCACAAGTTGAATACATGAAGAATCCCGTTTCTTGTACGACAGGTATCGCTGCTGCTGTTGTTCCTAGAGACACAGTATGTGCCACACATTCTCCACTAGCGTCCTTGTATCCGAAGGATTTGATGACTCAAAGAGAAAACAGCGTGATGCGCATTCGGCACGGCTGGTTATGTTTGTCTTTGTCCACAGAACACCTACAGTAACTCTCTTGTTCTGGAAACCTACCAATGGTTCTACTTTGCATTCATCACAAGTGATGGCCGAACTTTTGATAAGACTGACGCAACCACAGGTTATCATCAAGATCAATTGTATGCTCATAGTTGAAAACCTCTTCACCTTCTCAACCATAAACTGACAATGACTACAATCCTTGTGTTCTGAAGACTCTTATATCTCAAACAATCGATCGTTTAAAAAATGTCAAAACACATTAAACAGCCTGACGTCACATTTACTGAGTCTGAAAGGACCATTGAGCAGTTCTGTCTGGTAACGGTAACGTCTATGTGAGTATTTGTCAAGACAGTTTAGGGGAATAATACAAAACAAATACTGCAAGTAACTATCCAAGCGGATGTTCTGTTTGTCTGAGATTTAAGAAAGAGATTGTCTTTCAAGGGAGCCATAATAAGTGAACTTTGGGATCTATCTAATAAACACACGCATAATGGACATTTTACTTCCAAAGCTAGATATGTTGGTTTGTTAGTTGACTATTTGGTCTTTGATTATCAATATGCCATCAACCTGTAAAAGGTTGTTGAGTCACGCATCAGATAGGGTATGGACAACGTTTGAGCAACGTGGACAGCGGTTAGAACACTGATTAAAGACTTCGTCAGTCGTTCGCTCCTGGGTTTAATATCCCACCTTGGTATAATGTGTAAATCCAATTGCACATGTATTCCGCCGTGATACTGCTAAACTGGCGTCAGCAACGTCCTATGCCGTCGATGTATGTTAACATGTAAAATAAATACACAAGTTTGTCTACGATTTATATTGGTTATCTCATTAAGCACCTGTTGCCGTCGTCGAAAGAGGCGACTAATGGGATCGGGCGGTCAGGCTCGTTGACACCTGTCATCGGTTCCCAATTGCGCAGGTCGATGTTCATGCTGTTGATCACTGGATTGTCTGGTCCAGACTCGATTATTTACAGCCCGCCGCCATATAGCTGGATTATTGCTGAGTGCGACGTAAAACTCAACTCATTCACTCACCTGTTGCCATCCTATCTTATTCATATATTGACCCTACTGTCTTAACTTACATTGTAGCTAATCATACAGACTCGTTAAACCTTTCACTTCATTTACTGTGATGACCGTAAGAACATTTATGCCACAACATATGTATATTGTAGTTTACTAGTTACTAAGATTTATCTTGACTGTGTTTAACCTAAAACGTGTCCTAAAGTATTTGAAACTTCGTGGTTGCATGCACTGACAGAGCACATTACCTGTTCAATTGTGCAGTCCTTGTTAAAGGTGTGAGGTGAATTGAATAATATGCTCACTTAAACGCAAACACCCGATGCCATCCGGAGTTGGTGGTGATTTATAATCACAAGCTTATTATCTAGTTTATAAGTACGACCTGACCTGGGTCTGTCATTTACACTCCCAGTATCGTTGTATCGGAGCCATAGGTTTGAGATGGTCTGTCTGGACACGCCGAAGTGTATTGCCACCTTATGCTGCGATGCCCCTCCTTGTAAACGGCCGATGGCGTTGTGTCGTTGAGCGTCTGTCAGTCTTGGCATTCTTTTGTCGTTTATACTGTCTTAAAACAAGTACTAGGAGTACTATTGATGTGGCTTTTTAAAGCCTGCAGTCAGCTCTGGATGATACACAATTTTATGATACTCGTGTATTTCATGTAGGGTGCGTTTTAGCGATTCAATACAAACGTGAGTGTAAAGTTACGTTTTTGTTCTGGTAAATCAACGTTCCTTTTTTTAAACGTTTTGTCGTAGGCAACTATTCCTCGACATTCATGGATTCTGCAAGGACTGATTTGAGTCGAATATTTTCCTAAAATTCCAATTGTTCCTATGTAAAGTTTCTTTTATTTTTTTTTATTTTTTATTTTTTTTGGGGGGGAAGAGTATGCATCTGGCATTAGTTAACATTCAAAGTCCTGACTGAGATGGAGGGATTTAAAGTATGTTCCAAGATTCAGGTAATATGTTCAGTAAATATCTAAAATAAACAAAAGTACCTTTGATACAATATTTTTCTTTTCATCACACATATCCCTAATACCTAAAATCTCTTTTTCTGCCCAATTCTTTATGAATTGTGTAGAATCTTTGAAATTGTGATTGACCCATATTGGTTGTGATAGAATTCCATTAATGTTATTTGGGTCAATATAGTGTTGTTGGTGAAATTGTTTCCATGTGTTTAGCACATCGTGCCAAAAGGATTTTCAATCTTAATAAATGTTTCAGAATTAAAGGTCAAAAGTTAAATATATCTTTGAAAGGTATATTGCATGGAATATTTTTATCACATTTTGTGAAATAGAGTCTTAAGGTGGATAATTTCGAAGCCTCAATAAGTATATTTGTATCAATCATTCTTAATCCTCCTTTTATGTATTACACTCCTCTGTATTTTATCCTTTGTATGATTTCAATTAATTGAAAAATAGTTTTTCAAGGGAAGAAATAAAGTCTGCTGATGGGTTGGGCAAACTATTGAAAATGGGAACTAATCTGGAAATTGTTAGGGTTTTCATTGCTGTTATCTTACCAATAAGCGTTAAATGTGTTTTTCTCCAAGATGCTATTAATTTCTTCCAGTCTCCTTCTGGTGTTGATTATCCATAATTCATCAAGATCTGGTATAAATTTAATATCTAGTGTATCAAACCCACCAGTTACCCATTCAATTTTCAGTGTGTGTGCGTGTGTGTCCGCCTGTGTGCGTGCGTGCGTGCGTGTGTATGTGTGTGTGTTTGTCCGGTCGTTCTAGTTTGAATTTCCCTGCCATACTTGCTCGATTTAATAATACGTGAAATATTTCATGACTTGAATAATACTTTATGCTGAAAAAGAATTATATCCGGAGCAATCTGACTGCTCAAAAGCAATAATAAGAAAAGCATAATTTATGGGTGTCAGCTTCTCTATTGTGAATAACACGACGTTTCGATTGGTGAAGATACAGTAAACAGGGTCAGTTTACTTGGGACTTTGATGATGAAGGAAAAGATATGCTTCGTTGTCCTGTAATAACATTTATTCATATTTTGAGCTTACAGTTTGATTGTATTTTCTAGCAGATAGCATTAAGTGAATAGGAATGACATTGTACAATACAGAGGGAAATCCACGAGCAGGGAATTTGTGTCATCTGCTTCCGGATTCAGATAATTTACAGTTTATAGAGGCAGACATTTACAACATGCTTCACGTTGAGGAATGTGGTAATAATCACATGCTCTGAACAGCATTAAACTTTATCTCACACAGACACACACACATTCACTAGCTCAGTGCATACAACAATATACTTTTGAATTGTTTACAGTACAAACGTAACATATTTTATGCAGAACAACAATACCAATAGATATATAACAATCATGGGCTTCATTCAGATAATAAGCTAAAATTACTCATATCATCAGAAGGAATCTGACGATATCTGGCGGCAATACTTAGACCTAAAACAAAATAAAAGTTTCATGAAGTCATTTTTGGAACGAAAATATTAACACAATATCAGCCAATGAAAGGGTGTCCAGGGTATCAAATTAACTGTCTGATCGCGATTCACAAGCTCAAAATACAGGCGGAATCGTACAGTCGACTCCCATGGATATGGAAAGGGTCTTGTCACTATTATCATAACGCGGAGCTTTAATATTGATGATAAATCCTTTATGATAACCAGTTAACTCATAGGAAATCATCGACGGTTATAAAGTATGGGAGAGTGATATCACTGATTAAATAGAAGCCAAACAAGAGAGACATATTTGAACAAGGTCTTAACAGTTGTGGCTAATAATACGTTTCACTCCACAGTAACACACGCAGGGAGTATTGTGTTCCAACGTTCTGATTAAAGCTGTTATGGTGGCTTTAACACTTCTCAAGAATTGCAAATTGTGTTCAAGAATTGTAAATTGTGTTCAAGAATTGCAATTTGTGTTCAAGAATTGTAAATTGTGTTCTGAAACTCGGTGGTTGTTGGTGAATGCAAGTGAGAGAATCTGTTGTGAGATAATTCAGAAAATATGACACAAAGAAAGTAATCTGCGGTGAAGCTAGAAGAGTGAAATGATGGCCACAAACAGGCATATTCTCCGGTGGAAACACAACATCTAACCATGAACTATGATAGCCGATATGCGTACCGCTAACCATGAACTATGATAGCCGCTGCCTGCGTTATCCACTTTTCTCCCCCCCCCCCCCCCAAAAAAAAAATGCCGTTGAAATACTTTTGAAATCGTCGTTTGACTAAAGTCACTCTCTGTTCTATACCCTGCAATGATTTTTATCTGACCTACCTTAAATCTCAGCCTAACATCATAAGAAACATTCCATGGTCGCACGGTTTTACGCACAAGATACTCGTGACCTTTCATTTGATGCTTTTTAAGCACAATTACGGATAATCAAGTGATGGGTGCTGCTACTGAGAGCGTAGCCGGAAGGTGCATTATACCAAGCCAGGTTGCTGAGGTAACATGTTTTCGTTTGATGCTGATAGTCAGCAGTTACACAAGTAAAGCCTGTTTCTGACAGGCACAGACTCATGCAAGCCTCTGCTGTTTGAATGGACTGGATAGCCCTGTTGTTGAAACCATTGAGGAATTTGTCGTGAAAGAGAGCGAAGCCTGATCCATATCCAGCAGAACCGCAACCTGAAATTAAAAGTAAACCATTTGATATTGATATTGATGTGTGTGTGTGTGCGCGCGTGTCCAGTGGCATGGAAAGCAAATCAACTATTGTGCTCGCTTCGACGTTAACACAGGACTTGGATTCAAATGAAATACCCATCACATTTGCTCTCCGCTCATCCCTTGAAGTTGCAAACTTTGACAAGCACGAAACTAACTAACTCTGAAATGCTAAAGCTAATAACATTAGACTCTTAAAAGCACATTCACTGCCTGAGTGAACCAGTTAAACAAAGCCATCCGTAGCCTCCATAAGTCCAAAGTTGCAGAGCCTGACAGACTACAGAATGAACATCTAATCTCTGGCGGATATTGTCTCAAACATCTAGATATGGCTGTACAATTACAGCATTCAACCTCACAGACTCCATCCTATACAGCAATGAACTAGCCAGCAAAGTGTACGCAGCATTCTTGAATAATAAACGTGCCTTCGACACGGTCTGACACAGTGGACTGTTTTTTAAGTTACACCAGCTCGGGATCACAGGACTCTCATGGAAGCTTCTATTCAATGCCGACACAGATCTGAGAAGCTCAGTTGCAGTGAATGGATCAATCACAGTACAACAAAAGGTACGACAGGTAGGAGTCCTATCTACAACTCTCTACCTCACATTCATAGACATACTCCTTGGTCTTGGTAACCCTAGCTAGCCGGTGACGTCACTTTGTTAGCGTTATCCCTAAGTGTCCTCCAGTCAATGTTAGATATTGTCTTTAAATATGCTAGGACGTGGAGATATGGACTCAATCCTTCAAAGTGTCATAAAGCTGGACCTCTACAGTAGAATGGCATATCACTGACAAAACTATCGGTATGTCCACAATATCCTCCACTCGTCACCTAGGGAAGCAAGTCAACAATTACCTGAAGAATGATGACTCTGTGACTCCTGCAAGAAAGCTAAGGCCTGCTTTCATGCCCTGATGGGAATAGGATTGAAACCCAAAGGAGTCAACCCTGTATGATACAATGTAGGTGTGTAGGTATCATACAGATCGCGCATATGGTTACATGATATCAAGACGCGTCTAATATGATCGAGGTAGCTGTTGCTGCAAAGTTCATATGTTGTCTCTGTATTCTGTGGAAAAGCAACCCATTGCCGAGCCATATGGTCTCACCGATAATTCCACCGGAACTATATTGGTCATTGTTGTCCAGAAGGTATCATACAGATCGCGCATATCGTTGCATGATATCAGGGCGTGTCGTATAAGGTCGAGGTACTGTTGCTGCAACAGTGACCAATATAGTTCCTGTGGAACTATCGGTGAGCCTCAACAGAACTGATGACCAAACGCTAATGGGAAGGCCTTGTCCTATAGATATGGACTGTGTAACTGCTGATGAATTCAGAGACTTATGTGCATTGTTTGCCATGAATACAGTGGCCGTCTACCAGACAGAGCTTATTGTACAGACATTGGCTGCCCCTGGAAACCACGATTCCAGCAGGCGAAATCCAGCTGCCTACCCCGTATTTTCACAATCCTCTTTTCAATCCATCTAACAATCCTCCCCCCTTCTACAATATTTTTAAATGTCTCTTCACGTGCACTGTCCTAATTTATGCATTAATAATCTCCAAAAGGAGGAAATAATATCGTACATTAACTTAAGTGACAGATTTCTCACGCAATATACAAATTTAGCACTTCATTCATGATCTGCTTCTAAATTATGTTCGGGGCGTTGTTTTGATGATAATCCATACAAAAATATGTCACAAATGATGGTAAATAACAGTTTTGGCAGTTTTGTTCCAAGTTACGTTTCCGCTAAACCCATACTTACTTCTTTAGTTTCTTTTGATTCACCTTTGCTGGGCGGTTTGTTGCGACATGAAACACGGTTATTTGTTTCAAATACTCACCCTGGACACAACTGCTGCCAAGTCTGACGTACATGATGTCACACACACAAAATCCGTTATTGCAGACAACGTTTGACCCAGAACAGGTGGAGCAGCAGGTGCCAAAGTTTGGTGCTGTTGCTGAAAAAATATGATAATCACTATACCCGAAAAGCAAAGACATTCTATTTGAATAGACATGGTATATTTCGGCTATTTCATTTATTTCGTTTCATCAGGGACCGTCCATTGGATAACTGAATTTCGAACGTTTTTACGTAAGTGGTTTCCTTCTTATCAGTTATGTCTGAAAAAGGAAAACACATTAATAACAGAAATAAATTATTTGTTTCCTTATTTCTAATGTTTCTAGTGAATGGGTGAGTGACGCCGCTTTTAGCAATATTGCAGCAATTTCACACCAGAAATTGGCTTCCATACACATATAATACTGCCTCCGAGCCGACCTAACCTTGCTTTAAACTTGCATGGTAACAAAAGTACTTTCTTTCAATGTCATTAACGCACAGACGAACAGACGCCTTATCCACTTGAGCTATATATTGGAAAGCAGACAAACGCATAACCAAAATGATTTTACTCACACAATAAGTATGACAACATCCAAACCTAATCCTAAATGACTATGTAGAGAACGACGTTCTAACAATACCGAACATATATAGTGCTTAATTATTTATCATTTTGTGACCCAGTAATCTCATGGTTTATTGTTCAAACACATTTTTATTTCGCAAAACAGAAACCTGAATTGGCGAACAAAGGCTTAAGTTAACGTCGCTTCAGTCTACATAATTTACATAAGCTGGATACAGAACATAGTTAAATGAAAAACGCAACAACTAGAAAGTAAAAGAATGATACTGGGGAAATGGACACTTATACACAATGTCATAACTATGATTACATAAAAATACTTGAACTTAAGGAGTGGGTTATGTCTAGTAATGCCTGCAGCTGCAAATCAGAAATATAAAATATAAAACATGAAGTACATTGGGTATATATATATATATATTGTGGTGATATTCACAGGACGAATTTACTTTTAGTAAGGTGTAATGAATGTAGGACTTTACTGTTAGTTGATTTATTCACTGAGTCATTACCATAAAGTATTCTTTTTGTTTGAATATTTTTGATAATTTGATAATTTCGACATAAGAAAAGGTAGTGAACAGCGTGTTCGTTATCGTGACCACATGAACATCTGGATGTTTCGGATATGTGTCTATTATCACTTCATAGTCCAGGCAATATATACTTAGACCTAGAACAAATTACAAAAATCAATGAAAACATATATTAAAAATGTAGATAAATGTAAGTGGTGGAAAGCTCGTTTTAAGCGTTAAAATATCTAAATGGAACGCTGTAGAATCGAAGGAAGACAACAGTTGTGGGATACAGGTACTACCGGCCGACATATTTACAAACTCAGACCATCTTTAAAATCTGGTCCTAAAATTCGTCGTCGCAAAAGGCGTGATGAGGTCATTCTACTTCGTCTCAGACGTGGACACTGTGGGCTAAATGCTTACAGGAGTATTATAGATAAGACGGTATCTTCTAAATGTGGCCATTGCAATTTGGAGACGCCTGAAAATATTGAACATTATCTTATTACATGCCCTGAGCATAAGAACAGAGAAAAAATCTCAGAAGTGCTGTACTTAAGGTTGATGATATATTTTCTTTAGAAACAGTTTTTGGCCCCAATATCATGATTTTATCAGTTTTAAATTTTGTCTCGCCATCTGAAAAATATGACGTAATCTTCTCAGGCTCTCAATGGCTTACACGGATTTTGTTCTGTGATTTTAAATCATTTTAACGCTCCGTCATCTTAACCTTCCACTTTTTTAATGAATGAGTATTTCATGTTTCAGGAATGAAAGTAATTACTTAAGGTTTTTAATCCGTAAGAAGAAGCAAATGTTATTCGATATATCTAAACGTCTATCCAGAAGAATGTTAATATGCTGTCGTTTCTTTTTATTTCTAAACGATTCCTTTTTGCGATGTAATAATCTGTGATTTATATTAAGTCAAGTCAGAGTGTTGGGCGCAAATACCCCTCTTACTGGCCCACGTCGCCCTAAAACTACAAAACCAACCAACCAACGAAGGATGACAGTTTTGCAACAAACGTTTTACGAATATGAGGCAAGATCAATACATGTTTTGGTAGGTAAGCAACGCCCGAACTTTGTGAATTTGATATATACCATTAATAAAGGGTCAAATGATATGTAGAACATGTAAAGAAAAGTTTCTCAGAAGTAATAGAACTAAGAGTGTCATCATAATGTTCAGTGTGGTAACAAACATGACACATTGTGACATACAGACATAAAGTGCAAATATCAATAGCAAACATCAGGTGTACAGACCAACCAATGATGTTCAAATATGTTATTTTTCCCAGGCAAAAGCCCTATACTACCCTATTTCAAGGCAAATTTTAAAAATGTTCCTAACAATCGATTTCTCTCTGAAAACTTGAATCAATTAAAATAAATTCTTTTGCAATTTGTTCTATTTATTATATTTTTACTGTTTTAAAAAAAACAAAAAACACACACGCTACAGATTTTGAAAAAATTCAAGAGTGGTACAAAACACGATTTTCACATTATAAAAACAATCCATGACATGAAGTCCAGGACTTATAAACGGTGCTGATATTGCACTCCAGTTCATTCTGGAAAACATCACAAGTTGGCACAGTGTTTTTTAATCTGCTTCCAAAAATGAGGTTTTTGAAGATGATGATAATAATATTGAGAGGGACATTGTTTTTGTCTGGAAAACCAAGCAATACCTCCTTTTGTTAATTTAATATTGATTTGAGTTTTTTTCAATTTTAGCCAGATTACACGTTTTTGCCAGATATGATAATCTTTGCTGCAAGCCCAGAACATGTGATCAAGTATCTCATTTTCGTTCAGGCAAAAGCTGCATTTTGCATTATCTATATTTCCAATTATAAATAACATTTTATTTGTCGGTTAGATGTGATGTAATATTCTATATTGGAACCACTGTATGTTACTGGTATTTGTACATCTAAATGGCATTTTGCTATAACTGTGCCAGTCGTCAGATAAATCTTCGTTATTTAAAATATGTTCTACAATGTAATTCATATTCGCTGGTAAAATTGGATAAGGTATTTTTGACAGAGTGTTAAAATCTAGGTTAAGTGTTTTCAAATATAGCTTTGCTGATCTAATGAGACCAGTAAACGATAGAAAATCAGTTTTCAAAGCAATATATATTGTCATTTACGTGAAGTGAATCGTTGATCAATCGAACTCCTTTGTCAAACCATTGTTTATAAAACACTGGTTTACATCCTACACAAATGCTTTTGTTGTTCCAGAGAATTTCGGCAAGTATGTCATGTACATCATGGTCAGATTTGTTTCGTGATATAAATTGCCACCAAGCAGTTAATACAGCCCTATAATATTTATTGTGGTTCACTGGAAAACATTCCTCTTTCAGGTATTGACAATTATAGTCAAATACATTGCCAGTGCCAAACTTTGGGAGATCAGAAATGAATAAATAACACCAGTTAGACTTACGTCTGAAAAAACTTCTAACCATTGATAATTGTTTAGCCTGCATTAATGTCTTTATATTTGGCATATTTAGGCCTCCATTTTGTTTGTCACAGATCAATTAAATTGGCTTCTCTTAAGTTCCGGTTTGATGTTTCGGATAAAGTTAAAACGTTGTTGGAATTTACTTAGAATTTCATTATCTGGGTTAGGAAGCGTACTAAATAGATGATTTAACTTTGGAATTATCAAAAATTCCAAAACAGTATTTCTTCCAAAAGGAGTAATATTACGCGTAGATCAAATGGACATTAATGTTTCACAACTTCTTAAGTTTTCTTTGTGTTTTGTCGATGTTAACATTTAAACCTGAAAATATGGCAAAGGAGCTTAGCACGTTAAATACTGCATAGAAGCAACCATCCAAAGTGCGTGTTGCGTCGTCAGCAAATTGATTAAGTAAATATGCAAAGTTGCCGATCGAAATGCCCTGAATATACTTATTATCATTTCGTATCATTATTGCTAATATCTCCGCACATAAAATAAGATGTAAAGGGAAAGTGGATCCCCTTGGCGACAACCTCTTTGAATATCAAACATATCCGATCCATAACCATTAACAAGAACATTAGATTCAATACCTTGATATAGAATTCTGAACCATTTTCGAATTGATTCGCCAAAGTTTAGTGTTTTATCAATAAATTACCAATCTACCGAAGTCAGTAAGCATCAGAAGACCAGGAATTTGGTGAGTTTCTGTATATAATATTTTAGGTATTAAATTTATCTTTGACTGACTGACTGAGTTTGCTTTTACGCCCTTTTAGCAATATTCTAGCAACATCACGACGGATTTTATCTTGGAATTTCCCCGCTATATCTATCTGACATGAAACCTTTTTTATCATCATTTTTTAATTTAATGAGTTAACTGAACTGTTTTTTCCTTTTAGATACCTCTTTGAAGCCAATTTATAGACAACAGACAATAGGGAGATTGGTCTCCAGTGTTTTAAGTACGGTTTGATTTCTTACCTTTAGGTATACACGTTATAGGTCCACGTTTTAAAGAAATAGATAATTCCCCTTTCGGGTAAGACATACATATATAATGATCTGATGATATATTCATTTGTATCAATCCAAAAAAAATTGTCATGAAAGTATATGTAGCCTTTACCATTGTTATTGCTATATAATGTAGAATAGAAAGACTTAACTTCGTCTTGTATCTCTTGTTGTTTTGTGAGAGTTTTTCCACCATTAGTGTTTCCAACCCAACATTGAGAGGGTTTTTTGTCCTTTTCGGTCCAAACTGCCTTTGATCTAACTATAAGACACTGAGGGTTTTTTTATTTGAATTTTCTAGCCGTTCATTATGGTCATTAATTTGTTCTAATAAGGTAGATTTAGAGTTTGTGTCATTAGTTCTGTCGTTTCTTCTATATTGTCTATTAAATATATTTCTTCTTTATCTCTCTGGCGTTTCTTATTTGACGAATATTATAAAGTGTCTCCAATGA